AATGCTTAATGAAAATGCTATTGATATGAGTAAATGAAGCATGATATACAAATTTAGAATAAATTGTGTATGATTATGTGACATGAAAGGAATGACATGATAATGGAATTAATTATGTAAATATTGTGATAAAATATACTTTTACATCATGTATGAAATTCATGAATGGATAAAAGTGATATTTTTGATATTGGGATCAAATTATATTTGGGTTGGAAAATCAATTGAAAAGAAATGTCAATTTGAATTAAGAACTTGATATGTTCTAAGACAAACCTACTAGTATTAAAATACTAGTCGGGAGAATAATATAATGGAATTAATCCTAAGGGATAGGATTGTGAATAGATTTGCCTTAAGTAGTCTTAAGAGATACTTTAAGGTTGAATTGAATGAACACTAAGGTGTGTTAGGGGTAAGCCTAAAGGCTACCCAAGTGGGTTGATTCTAGGCATAAGATTTGCTTGAGAATTGGACTACGAAAATGAATTAGAGTCGGACTATAGGATTGCATGGAAATGTAGTTGGGCCGAGCTCTTGCCATGCAATGTGATTAGCATGGAAACGTAGTTGGGCCGAGCCCTGGCCATGTATTTGTGATCTTCGTGGAAACGTAGTTGGGCCGAGTCCTGGCCACGAAGTTGTGGTTAATATGGAAACGTAGTTGGGCCGATCCCTTGCCATACGATTTAAATGTGTTAAATTGAGTTGAAGGGTTGTATAGAAATGTAGTCGGGCCGAGCCCTTGCTATACAATCGGGACTCGAGGGAACCCTATGGGGTTGGCGTGACTAGTAGTCACGGGGAATTAAAATGGTGAATTCTAAATGAATATGTGCCCACGGGCCGACTACTTGACTTTATATAAAGTAAGTACGTTATTTTATAAAAGGGGATAACCGAGGGTTATGGCCTATAATATAATATCACCCTAGATTGAGGGTCTTTGAAATTGAAACATTGATTATACTTAGTATAGTTGTCATTGTACTTGTCAAATGTTTCCAAGTACTGACCTCCCCTTCACGAGGGAAGCCACCTCACAGTTTCAGGTAGGAGCTGAGCTTGCTACCATTGCCTGTGGCTACGGGGAGATTCTAGGAGAGAAGAAGTTGTTCGTGCTTCTTCCGTTTCTGTTTCAAACCAATTATAACAATGCTCATGGATATTATTTTTGAATAATTATTTGGGGGCTTCTATGCCCATTTTTGCCAAAGTGTGGCATAAACTCTTATATTAAATGTTTCCGCTGCTTTAAATAAATGTTTTACATTATGTTTGTTTATGGATGTACTACGTGTGAATGGTATTCAAGACGCCTTGTATAGTATGGATGAGTTGGACTGCGGTTGACTATTCGTACTGTACGACGGGTTGTTGACGTGTCCGGCTAGGTCCGGGGCGTGACATAACATTTGTTCTATTTATTCTAATGAGATCCTTTATGGTAGTGATAGTCTTATAAATGGACTTTATGTTGTATACTATGAAGCACATATACTTCAATAGGGTACCGTATCAACGTATGAGAAACGTTCCCGTATGCGATACTCTAGGATACTCGTACCGTACGTTCCGGGCCGTATATGCAATTTTTAAAAGTTTACCTTTTTTGGGTAACTAATTTAAAATTTCGGATAGTAGTATCCTAACGGATACACGTATCAACTTTAAAAAACACTCAAAGTTTACATAATAAAATGATAAAAAAAGAAAAGCTAAAAGTAATTTTCACCTAACTTTTACTCCGTATGTGGTACACAACTAATGAGCATATTCTTAATTCACTCATCCTCATATCCCTAATTCTAATTATCATTGGAAACTAATAGCTCCAGCGGAAATATGCATTAGAACTGTTAAAATATTGTTTTCTATTTTCGTTATTCTAGAACTTTGAGTACTTGTACTTTTAATTTCAAAACTGTAGTTGTTTGACTTAATTCTCAATTTAAATTAATGACTTATTGACTATATTTATATTTCGAGATGCACTAGTGTATATGAGATAAAATATGAATTTATTTCTAAGTATCTGTATGGGGTGAAAAACTCAAAATCGACTTTTCACCCCTCCCATTGCAGATAGCATTTTTCTTGTAAATTTAGCATTTTCCTTTTTTATTATTCAATTATTTTTTATCATTTTCTTATTTATGGTTCTTGTATTGATATCTCTGATAGACAATCTTCAATCAGACATACTCCTTCCGTATTTTAAAGTTTCTTACATTAGCTTTGGTCACACAATTCAAGATGAAATAGTAGGGGTAGAGTTAAGTGATAAAGTAGGAAAAATCATATGAGATAATGTAACTAAAAGAGTAGTAGGGTAGGATATAATTGAATGAGGGTAAAAAGATAAGTTTTTTTTCAAAAGGAAAGTTGAAAGTAAAAAGATAAGGGTAATAATGTATTTTCATAGATAAAACTTTCCTTAATGAGAAAGTGTAGGGAACTTTTAAATACAGTCCAACAAAGAAAGTGTATGTAACTTTTAAATACAGATGAAGTATTTTACTACATAAAGATTGTATATACATATGTGTGTGTGCACCCACGCCCAAACAGGTACATATACGTCACCATCTTTTATTGTTTTCATAATTTCCTTCCCTTCTACTCGAATGGAAGCGTCGAACCAAGCTCCTACGTCAGATTTTTGAGATGGTAATTGATGGCTAGGGTTAATCAGAAGAGGGTGACGAATCAACAACTAACAACTACTGAGAAATAGGTCAACAAGAGCAACATAGTCACCGGGGCAGTTGTGGGGTCATTGTCGGTGGAGACATGTGGCAATTGTCACTAAGGGGTGTAAGTGTTATTGAGTTAGGTTGGTATAAAAGTAAACGAAGTCACCTTTTTAAGATGGTCTTTTTCACGAACATTACTAAATTAAATTAAAAAGACAAAAACATGAATTTTTTTTTTAAATTTTTTAAACAAGTGATATAATCAGTGACTAGTTTCCTGTGATTCATCTTCTACCAGTGACTTATCACTCTGAAATACATTACAATAACTCTTGTCCAATTAATCGTACACGATGATTCGTCATACTTTTGTCCAAAAACATAACTAGTCATATTTTTGTTTGAAAAACTCTGTTAGTAATATACATGTCATTTTTTCTTTTCGAATTTCTAAAACTAATCTTATTTTTATTTAAAATATTTATTTTAATAAAATTGATGAAACCCCCTAAAAAGTTTGCAAATTGCATATGGATGCATCTTTAAAACTTAAGAAATTGCCGTAACTAGGATTAAAACAATAACAAAGTTCCAAAAGAGGAGTTTATGTTTATTTATTCCCCAAATAGAAGTTATTAATTAGGTGAACCGTTTCTTCTTCCCATTATACCCTTCTTGAATTTTCTTCCGACAAATCTTTTCACGCTGCTCTGCTCTACCCCTCTCTGCATACTCTTTCCCCTATGAGCTGCTCTCCCTTCTCTCATCTTTTCTCAACAATTTCTCAACAATTTCTGCTCACAATCATAGCAATTTCACATCTCCGGCGGATTTCGTGGTCATTGTTCTCCCTGGCAACCAACGACGGTCTTTAATTATAGGTATGTTTCTATCTTCCTCTTTCTCCTCTTCTTCTTCCCCTTCTTCTTTTCTTCCCCTTCTTCTTCTACCTTCTTCTTTCCTTTTTTTTGATTACCTTTTTTTCCTTCATTTTTTTCATCTTGATTTCCAGATCTTGCTTTCTAATTTTCCGTTTTTGCTCTTTCAATTGTTCGTCTTTTTCTGATTTTCATCTTAATTATCCGTCTTTTTCTTGCTTTCTAATTTTCCTTTTTTGCTCTTTCAATTGTTCTTTTGGCTTTTGCTCTTTAAAATTTGCATCGTTTACCACACAAATTATACCATAGTAATTTTTAAATTGATTTCAATTTGCTATTTAGATCTAGAAATTTTGGATCTTATTTTTTATTTTTTCGAATTTATATGTTTAAAAAAATTGAATTAAAATACTTTTTATCCTTTTCAATCGGAAAATTTTTATTCAAAAATTGAATAAAATATTTCTTATCCTTTTCAATCTGAAATTTTTATTCAAAAATTTGAATTAAAATATTTCTTATCATTTTCAATCTAAAAATTTTTATTCAAAAATTGAATTCAAATATTTCTTATCCTTTTCAATCTTGAAATTTTTATTCAAAAATTAATGCCATCTCAAGATGGAGATATTAGATCTTTTAAGAGCACATCACTTGTAATGTTATGTTTTCATTCAAAAAACTATCATAATTTGGCAATTTGTGCCATTATAAGGATGGTGCTATTTTGCCATTTAGTTCCATTATATCAGTTATAATGTCATGTTTTCATTATGAAAATTGAGATTTTGGCAATTAATGTTAAGATGACACTAAATTAGTAAGATTGACATTTCATCGTAGTTCTATGCGCAGGACATAGATCTACAACAATCTCACCGGAGGAGAAGACGGCAGTGCCAGAAGACACGGTTTTAGTGCTATATGAGGTGGACGGCAGCGACCATGCCTGACTAGGTGGCCTGTGACGGCGATTCAGATGCAGTGGCCAACAACAACCATTAAATATGTGGCAGCCAAAGACAGTGTTTCAGGGACTGCGACCAGCGACGTCGATTTCTATTTTAGCGACGGTGATTTTAATTTTGGCGGCTACCACTGGTAACCGGCGGTATCGACTGTGATTTTAGTTGTTGCGCAGATCTTCGTAAAGCTTGTAATGTTATTTTGCTTTTTAATAATATTAATCAGTAATAAAGAAATCAGTTACTCCGTATTCATTTAGGTCATACTCTTGTAAACAACGGAAACTTAATTGCAGCCTGCTTTAATCAGTAATAAAGAAATCAGTTACTCAGTAATAAAGAAATCAGTTACTCCGTATTCATTTAGGGTATTATGGTCAGCTTCTTTTAAAACTTACGTGTGAAACTTAAAACAGCCGTAAGACTCATATTTTGGCATACTTTCTATGTTTTGCTCCCAGGGAATTCTCTCTTAAAACTTTGCACTATTTGGAGGCCAGAAGTCCAAAACTTAACAAACAACTTATTTGCAGTTCCGTGCTCTCTCATATACTTCGTATAAGCTGAATGATCTTTCTTGATGCAGCTTCATCAAGTACAACGACTTTGAGCTACCAAGGTTTCATTCCTCCGAGCGGCACACACCATAAGTTAGGGTTTTTGCTCGTTGAATTTTTCCACTCAATTTAAAGTTGTCTGTTGCAAGGTCGGGGGTCGAATGGCGTGTCTATACATTCCAGTGCAGAACTCGGAGGAGGAGGTCCGAGTTGCTCTGGACCAGCTTCCTAGAGACGCTTCAGATATACTCGACATTCTTAAAGCCGAACAAGCTCCTCTTGATCTCTGGCTAATTATCGCTGTAAGTCTAAAGTATTTCGATCCTGCACATGGAGGCATGGCATTGCTTGCTTTGCTGAATGTTGAGTTGTTTGCGTGCATATCTTAATATTCTCATACCTAAATTGCACAAATTCTTCCTATTTTGAGTGTGGAAGCTGATCTTTGGCTAGTTATTACTGCTTTAAAAATCAAAATATTTCAATCCTCAAGAGATTGTATTTATTTTTTTGATGAATGGTGAGTTGTTCATGCATACATATATTTGAACATTCACATAACTAGGTTGCAGAGTTTCTTTCTTAAATGAGAATGAGAGTTGATCTTTAGCTAATTACTGATTTGTGTAAAGCTCTTCCATCCTTAAGATGTGGTATGGGTGCTTTGGTCCATATTGAGTTGTTTGCATTCATGTATGAACATTCACATATCTAAACTACATAATTTCTTTCCTAGTTGAGTATGTAGGTTGATTTTTGCAACTTCACAGATTCCTTTTATGCTGTAGTAAAGTAAAAAGTGAAATACACATCAGTGCAATAGTTGCTAGAATCACACATGTCAGTGGCTGATACAGACAAATTACTATGGGGGCATGATCTCATAAATTCGAGCTTAAAGTTCAATACATACCTTACCGAATCCAAACCCAATTATGTGATACCAATTACCAAGTATTATACTCCATGTTGTTTGGAGAAGATACATTTTTTACTATGTATCTGTATAGGATAACAAAACTAGTGGATACTTCTATTCACATTTATGCCATGAAGTTTCCATCACTTCCAATGGAGCCAAAGACTCACTATTTTTTGGCTGGAAACATCATGGAATAAAGCAAAATGGCTCACTAAACTGTATGCGCTTCTTTGTTATGAAACAACTCCATGCAATTTTTGACACAATTTTCATCACGGGTCATCCGGAAATAGTCTCTCTTTGCTCTAGTACAACAGTAAGGTTGCGTATATCCGACCCTCCTTACTCCACTGTAGGTGGGAGCCTTTGCGGCACTCAGCGGCGGAGCCACTCTTATTCAAAGGGGTTCACATGAACACCCAATTTTTTGAAAAACATGTAGGTATATATGTGTAAATCCAGTATAATGATTTATTACTCTTAAAGTTTGTAGTTGTAAAAATGCATTGAACACCCAAAACCTCAATTTCCAATCCGCCATTGGCGGCACTGGGGTAATGTTGTTGTGGTTATTTTTTTCACGAAGACTTATTTCCTGACATACATGAAATGGTGTAGAGTGCCAAAGTAATTTGAAGTTGACTGGTTTAGTTGGCAGTTTATATTGTTACGAGACCAAAAAAGTATTTTACCTATTGTTTGATACTCCAATGTCTTTTACGTATTTTACAATGGCGCAAATTGTCAACAAGAACAACTTAACTTTTATTTAATGGATAATAACTCTTTCTCTTATGAAATTAAGCTGCATCACTTGCATGCATTTCCTCTAACTTACTTTCATATGTATACCTTTTTCTCACAATGTTAGATTGTTTCAGTTAGGTTCAGTTGAATTAATGTTAATAAACTTAACAAACATATATAGTGTACCCATCGATATGATTCAGCTTGTAAAACTATTATTGGGGGTAATATAAAACATTGATCATGTGCAAACGTTCTTTCTACAAAGAATGAAGAGTTGCATATTTCATTCTTGATTTTTGTTACTGGAAAGTGGGAAGGGGGTTATTATTTCCTTATTTAGTTATTCGGGTCATTGCAGTAAGTGTTTGTTTGTTTGTTTGTTTGTTTGTTATCTTTTGATTTTTCTATTTTGGGATTGGTGCAGAGGGAATATTTCAAACAAGGCAAAGTTGAACAATTCCGGCAAATACTGGAAGAGGGATCTAGCCCAGGTATCCTTTTCTCATAACAGTGTGCTGTATGTAATACTTCGCTGACATTCTATTCATTATTGCATCCATTGTCTTGTTGAGAGTTATAGGATATAAAGTTATTATGTATTAATACCTTACTTCCATCAATGACCAATTGATTTTTTTTGGATGATGTTACTACTGGCTTCTCTATGCAAAATTGACTGTATTCCAATTTCGACCACGCAGAAATTGACGAATATTATGCAGATGTGAGGTATGATAGAATTGCAATTTTAAATGCACTGGGGGCATATTATAGCTATCTTGGAAAGATTGAGACAAAACAGAGAGAAAAGGAGGATCACTTTATAATGGCAACTCAGTACTATAATAGAGCATCAAGAATTGACATGCACGAGCCTTCTACTTGGGTTGGGAAAGGTAAAAATCGAATAAGAGAGCCATGATAATATCAATCAATAGCGTTCAATTGCTAAATGTCTAAAGATTTTTGAATGGCAATTTATGCCTGCTTTACAGGTCAGCTTTTACTGGCCAAAGGGGATATAGAACAGGCATTTTCTGCCTTCAAGATTGTATTGGATGGAGATCGAGACAATGTTCCTGCCCTCCTAGGTCAGGTATCATCACTGCATACTTTATTAGTGAACATATTTCACAGCTTTATTGGTTTAATGGATTATGAACAATTGAAAACTGAGGTTCTGTGACTGTTTGATGACTAGATTTTACCAATAACAAGTGTTCAATCAACTTACAAAATTTCATATGATTTACAACTTTGACTTGATGAGCATGTTTATCCCTTACAACCAGTAGCCTGGTTTGCTTGTGACTATTGATTCCTTCACGCATATGAGTATATCTCAACCCTGTTTTGATGTACCCTGCAGAACCCGTCACATTTATTAGCCATAGGCTTGATTATCTGTTTGCCTTTTATTTTAATTGATTGATGACTACTTACTTGTATTCTCAGGCATGTGTTCAATTTAGTCGGGGACGGTTTCCAGATTCATTGGAATTGTACAAGGTTCGTTTAAATGGTTTAATTACTCCAATTTTCAGTTTAATACTTATTTAAAGAAGAAAAAGTGTACTTGCTAGCCCCTGATTTGAAAAGCATTCCTTGAAGTAAATGGAGCTACTGCCAGGTTTTAATTTTGTATGTTTTGTTGTCATCAATATACTTTGTTCAGCGGGCTCTGCAAGTGTATCCTCAATGTCCTGCTGCGGTAAGACTTGGAATTGGTCTTTGCCGATATAAGTTGGGTCAAGTTATGAAGTCAAAGCAAGCATTTCAGCGTGTTTTGGAGGCAAGTTAATGTTAGCTACCTGATTGCAGATTAAATTTGTAAACCATAATTTTAACATATTCATTTTTAATGTCACATTAATCGTTTTATTTTTCATCTTCACAATGACGCTGTGATTGTAGTTGGATCCAGAAAATGTGGAAGCTCTTGTGGCACTTGCTATTCTGGATTTGCAAACCAATGAAGGTGAGTGGTAGTGCATCTAGGCATCTAGCAGCAATAGATTCTTGAGGATCAGTGTAATGATGTAGAAGAATAAAAAAATGGAGTATACCGTCTCAATTAGATGTCATATTATGTCTCAATAAATTGTTCTTTAATGATATTCTGGACTAGGTAACCTGTAAATAAGATGTCGTATTCTTTAGTCTTATCTAATATGAGTTCAATGTTTTTGAACAGCTGGTGACATTAAGAGTGGAATGGAAAAGATGCAAAGAGCTTTTGAAATATATCCTTATTGTGCGATGTCACTGAATTACTTAGCCAATCATTTTTTCTTCACCGGCCAACATTTTCTTGTTGAGCAACTTACTGAAACTGCACTTTCTGTTACCAATCATGGGCCAACTAAGTCACATTCTTACTACAATTTGGCACGCTCATACCATAGCAAGGTCTGTCTCTCATCCTGCCAATCAATCTCAAGTTTCTCTCCTTTTTTGGTTGATGAAATGGTCTCAACATTTTCTTTTGTTGAGAATCACCACCCTCGGCATCCCTGGATCACATATGCCTTTAGTATAAATGTATAATGTGTGGTATTGTGATTCTTGGATGTTCTGACATTGATATTTTAATAGAATAACATGTGTATAGTTTATGGATTTAGGAACATGGGATTGTTTATAAACATTATTTTCTATTGGAATTTGGAAGATCGGAAAATATGATGAAACTTCAAAACTAAATGTTTTCTTTCCTATATATTTCTTCTATTCTTAATTAGTTGCAACGGTTTGGTTTTCATACTTGTCAATGCCACAACTTTGACTGTTTGGCCATTATAATGTTCAAGTGACTAATTGACTATTACTAAAAATTATTTAAAAAATATTTTTTGAAAATTTACAGTGCGTCAAATCCAAAAATACTTTTCATTATAGAATTTGTTTATACGTTTAACAAATAAAATGAAATCAATTAAGTGTATCTGAATAGTGTTAAAGTCAAACTGTTGCAACTTGCAACTAATATAGAACGGAGGTAGTATTGTTAATCATTAAAAAAATACTTGCGGTAATCATTCACGCTCAATATGTTCAATATGTGCTCCTATTTATTGTTACACTTTAATGGTGTTAGTCAAAGGTTTGTTTATCTCTATCTAAGCTAATCCAAACATCGCTTGTTACAAATATATTAAACCCGATTGTGATCAAGTATGTTGTTTGATCTCTACTTTGAACCTATGCCATAGAGAGCAAACCTTGTGGGCAAATGACAATATAGTTATACTTCTATATGTTTGATACATTCATGAACAAGGGATTGTGCACTATGTGTGTAGCTGCCTGATTATCATACCTCAGGCCTACTGAGACATTCACCTTTTAAACCCATGTTCTTTTTCTATATTTTGAATCTAGGTTATCTAGCTGTATGAGCCATCACCATACAATCAGACTCTACTCTGGGCCTGGTCAAAACACCCTACTTCTTGCCTCCCATCATTCTATGATACTAGATGGATGTGAGTAATGATGGTATGTAAAGCTGGTGGTGGTGGTGAATGGTTGTTAGGCAGTGAAGGAACATAAAAATGTACGGAAGACAGTTGTTAAGTGAAAGTATGAGTAGATATATAAGAGGTCTGGGTTGAAAGTTCCTAGGTACTGGTGTGGCGATTGTTATTGTATAGTTTATAACTAAGTTAAACTTCTCCTTGTTTTTGTATTTGGAAAAGTTTAGGAAACACCAAAACGTAAATTCTTCACAATTACCTCTACTCTCTAGTAGAATTTGTTTTCTGCTTCATTATTCTAATGAGAGTTACGTTTTTGCTGACTCAGGGAGACTATGAAAAAGCTGGAATGTACTATATGGCATCAGTAAAAGAAATTAATAAGCCACATGAATTTGTCTTGCCCTATTATGGTACCCCTACTGCTCTTACTTATATGTATTTTAAATGTTACCATATGATATTTATAGCCTTGTTTAGTTGTTTAGTAGTAGGTGTTAGTATTCTTGTATTGTGAAGAATGGACACCGCATTAGTATGTTTACCTACTTTAGGTGATCCTTTGTTTTCATAGTTAGTCTTTAATATCTAGCACCCTATGAATCAAAGTGACTTGGCTCTTGTATTGTTTACCTCTACATGCTTAACACACATACTCATACATGACAATTGTTCAACAGCAACAGTTAATGGTGACTGCTTGTCTTATAAATAGGATAAACTGAATATTTGGTCATTTGAAATCTTTAAAAGGGAAGGTATAACATTGGGGGGGGGGGGGGGGGTCTTGGGCTGTACTTGCTCAGCATCAGCTGTTTGAATTCCTAATTGAATGATTCATCAGCTGTTAGCTGACATTCATGCTAGAGACATAGTTGCTGTTATCATCAGATCTGGCACAAACTTTACCTCTTTTTTTGCACAAATTTATTGTGTTACTTAATTATTAATTAATTAACACTTTAAATTTCATGCCATTGACCTGTACTTTTTGGGATTAAGGTGCTACTGATGATGAATCCCAATCTCAGCACTAATATTTTCGCTTAATATTTGCAAACTTGGTTTAGTAGAAGAAAAACAATAGTTTTCTAAAAACATTCCTACCAATATACCATTGCAATCCACAACTCATTTGCCAACCAAGACAAATACAACCGGGTAGCTCATATCACCTAAAAAATCTATATTTAGTCTAACTGATATTAATATGAGGATAGATAAAAGTCTGGCTCTCATTCAATGCTCAATTTCCTCAAAAGAATTGTGCACAGCATATATCCACATTACAATGGTATCTGGAAGGGTATTTAGGGAGAGGAAGTTCTTTAGAAAATTATAGTTCAAGGCTTGAGAAAATGGACCTTGCTCATTTTCTGCTTACTTGTGTTTCATTCCCTCACATGTAATTGTTTATCATAGGGCTAGGACAAGTTCAACTGAAATTGGGAGATCTTAGGAGTTCGCTGTCAAATTTTGAAAAGGTATTGGAGGTGTGTCCAGAGAACTGTGAGACACTTAAAGTAAGTTCTTTAAGGTATTTGATTATTTTCATTCTTGAATCTGCTCTGCTTTTCTCCGTTGTTCTGTAAGTCTAACTCACCTGTGTTTGGCATAGTCTCTTTCTCACATTTATGTGCAACTTGGGCAACCGGAAAAGGGTTTGGAGTATTTGAGGAAAGCCACCAAAATTGATCCCCGTGATCCTCAGGTTATTATCCCGTCACAATGTCATATTGTCATTTAAAATTTATTTTACCAATTTCACCATTTGAGGTGCTGCTTATAATGGGGATGGGCAGATAAAAGGAATTGAAATGATGGGGAGAAAGTGCTACTCTGTAGAATTAAATTTTTTTATTGACTATTGATACACTGACGACTTTTTCCTATTGTGTAAAAAAGAGGTTGTAATTGTTTTATATCAGTTTGGAATTCTATAGTGACACAACACGGTTGCTTAATTCATACATCTTTTGGACTATTGTACTTGTAGGCTTGTAGCATAATCACATGGTTTCATACTTTCATATTGTGAAGACTTTTGCTTTCCACCATACGTAATATGGAGGGTTGCAAGCCACCACTCGTTTGGTGCAAGAATGTCCAGACCAATAAATTACTTTCCTTCCTAAGATCTGCTTGTTTTTAAACATTACAAATGAATCATGCATGATAAAAACTGTTTACATTTTTAGTAGCCCCTAATTCATCTGAAGTGGAAAATGTTTTTTGGCACCATCATATAAACTTTTACCTGGTTATGTGAATGTAGGATGGTCTGCAATTTTGTTTTTGCTAATAATGTATTCATTTTTTATTCTGATTAGGCATTTTTGGATCTTGGTGAACTTTTAATTTCAACGGATGCAAGTGCTGCATTAGATGCCTTTAGAACGGTAACAATCCTAATCTCTAATTTTTATGGGTTTGACATGGTTCCCAGTGATCATTAATCATTTAATCCTTTTTAGTTTTGTAATTTGTATATAATCCTCATTTTTTGGGGTTGAGGGGCTAGAAATATCATATATGATTTTGAAGGTTCGTACTTCTGTAGAATTCTAGGTTTTCTCTAGCTTGAAAGCTGAAGTTATCACCATGACACCATCTATATATCTATTTAAAGTAAGGTGTATCTCATTTAGAAGAAGTACCATTTTTAGCATAATAGGATTCCGAGTACAACTCCTTCAGTTCTAAAGGAGCCTATCTGGGACGAGTGACATTACCAAACGCCCACACCCTTTCAGAACCGATGTCCATGGCAGCGTTCACTTCAATGTTATTTTGATCTAGATCAAAACCTATCTACAATAAGTTTTATTTTATACTCCTGCCCAAATTTGATTTACAAAGTTTCCTATTTTGATTCTCCCAAAATGATTTTCCACTTTCGATTTTAGGTATGGAAAGATGAATAAGTGACATAGTTATCCTTATTTTACTCCTTTTCCATTTACTTAAGTGCCTCTACTTTATGGTAGAAAGGGCAAAATAGTAAAGCCACACATAATTTATTACCTTGATTCTTGTGGCAATCAACTTTTGCAAGTCAAATTGTAACGGAGGGAGTAATCATGAAGCTATTTAAGTTATTAATCATTTAAGGTGAATTAAAATAATTTTAAATTTTATTATAGTTGTAACTTGTATAGTTTATAAATTTTTATAGTCATGAGGTTATTTAAGTTATTTATTGTGAAGGGTGAATTAAAAGAATCTTAAATATAAGTTAATGTAGATGTATGTTTTATAATATTACTCCCGGCGTCTCTTAAAACTTTGCCAAGTTTGACCGGCACGGAGAATAATAAAGTAAAAACTGTGTGGTTGAGGCTTGTGCAGAGGAGAGAAATAACAAGAACCGCAAATAATTGATTAAAAGAGAAAGTTGCAAAGTTTCTTGGGACATAATAGCTTTGATTATAGGATCTTATGATCCGAGTTACGATCCCCAAGTTACGATCTACCAATCCTCTTCCAATCCGTGCTAGGATCTCTAGTTTAACAACCTTGGTTCATGCAATCGGCACAGACACCTTAGTCCAGCTTATGGAGCACTTTCTGTGTCCTAGACTCAAAGAAAATACCAGTATGCGTTTTTGTATCAGGATAACTCAGTCAAGCCTTACTCCACCAGAAAAGCTGCTCATGAGTGTAGGTTTAACATTGAGTTATTGAATCAAGTACAACTCCATTTCTGAAGGAGCAATGTAGGACTCGTAACATACTCATCCGTCCCTCCCTTTTTTCTATGAAAAAATGAGGGTATTTAGCTTTACGAAGTGCCTGCAAAATTGTTATTCACTTTTCAATATCTTTTCTTTCAATTGATAATGTTCACATAATAGGATAATATATCTAAGTTGTTGCAGGCGCGTAATCTACTGAAAAGGGCAAATGAGGAAGTACCTATTGAGCTGCTCAATGACATTGGTGTCCTTCATTTCGAAAGAGGAGAATTTGAGGTTTGACACCTACTTCAGTTTTATTTTTGCAGTGTACTAGAAGTTGCATGCATGTTGAATTTATCAGTAACCATTCAACATGTAAAAACTACTCTTTGGTGTCCTTCATTTCGAAAGAGGAGAATTTGAGGTTTGACACCTACTTCAGTTTTATTTTTGCAGTGTACTAGAAGTTGCATGCATGTTGAATTTATCAGTAACCATTCAACATGTAAAAACTACTCTTTGGTGTTTCATTAATTCAAACAACTGAAAGCTCTTCTGGTTTCCAGCTTGCAGGACAATGTTTCAAGGATGCTCTAGGTGATGGCATATGGTGTAAGTTTTTGGGGGCTAAACTGCAGTCCGATGCTTATGTGGACACTTCAAATTGTGAAGGACTTCAGCACTCCAATGGTGAAGTATCATGTGACCTTATCAAAAGCGTGCAATATCCAGTGGATGCCAGTGCATCCATGCGTCAATACAAAGACATCCAATTTTTTTGCAGACTTGAGGAACAGGGCATTGCGGTAGAACTTCCATGGAATAAAGTTTCTGTGCTGTTTAACAATGCAAGATTGCTGGAACAGTTATATGACACAGAAACAGCCAGTATCTTTTACCGACTAATCTTGTTTAAGGTGAGCACATGTTTATTTATCTGACGCTATGATATTTTTTAGTGCCAGTGGGTAAACCACCATAAGGTGGGATAAATGCTGGGGAACATCAACCAGATCTCATTAATAAAAGAAGAGATACAAACGGGTGTGTGTGTGTGTGTGTTAGGGTTAGATCTCACACAAGCACGAATCTGAAAGACTAGAAAAAGAACGAGAAGAACGGCACACGAATATAACGTGGTTCAGCCAGTAAGTGTTACTGACCTAATCCACGGAGGCAACTAGGGTTTTCTTTCTTATTGAGATGATGAATGATACAAGTCATAGTTTACAAGTACAGGAGTCAATATATATAGGCAAACAATTAGGGTAAAACTCTTAATAAGGTTCTGGGCCTGACTGCCACTAAAGAAACAGGCCCAACTAAGGGCTGCCTGCACATTTAACTAGAGCAGGCTCTGCTCTTTGTTTATTTGGCTCCCAGATCTGAATGGGCCGAAGCCTACAGCCCAACAATCTCCCACTTGGAGGCTTCGAAACACGATCAACTGCACTCCACTCCTCTGTACTTCTGTAAACTTCATCTGTGTTTACACCTGGTTGCCACCTGCCTTCTCAACATTATTCTTGAAGGCCAGCTGAAGTTACACTGAACTTCAGCTTGTCCAACGTCACAGATTTAGTGAACATATCTGCTGGATTCTTTGCACCTGAGATGTTCTTCAAGTTCATCGTTCCTCCACTGATCAACTCTCTGACAAAGTGATATCTCATCCCAATGTGCTTTGTTTTCCCATGATAGACTGGATTCTTGGCAAGTTTCACTGCACTCTCATTATCACAGTGTAACGAGTAATCTGCTTGCTTTTTGTCTAACTCGTCAAGGAAGTTCCTCAACCAAATCAGCTCTTTACTGGCTTCAGCAACTGCCATGTACTCTGCTTCGGTTGTTGAAAGAGCTACACTTTTCTGAAGTTTGGACATCCAACTAACTGCAGTTCCTCCCACTGTGAAAATGTACCCCGTTGTGCTTTTAAATGTCTCTTTGCATCCACCCAAATCAGCATCAGAATACCCTCTCAAAATCACGTCTTTTCCTCTGAAACATAACCCCATCTTTGTAGTACCCTTCAAATACCTAAGTATCCATTTAACTGCTTCCCAATGTTCCCTCCCCGGTTTTGACATGAAGCGACTAACAACCCCGACTGCATGAGCAATATCTGGTCTCGTGCACACCATAGCATACATGAGGCTACCAACTGCAGATGCAAAAAGAACTTTAGCCATTTCTGCTTTATCTTCGTCTGTTCTCGGAGACTGGTCTTTGGTAAGCTTGAAGTGACTTCCCAAAGGCGTGTTTCTTGGTTTAGTTCTCTCACCATTCATTTTGAATTTCTCCAACACTTTCCCAATGTACTTTTCTTGGGATAGTGTTAAAGAACCATTCTCCTTGTTTCTGACTATGCTCATCCCTAGAATCTGTTTGGCTGGACCCAAATCTTTCATTTCAAATTCTTGAGACATTTGTTTCTTTAACGTGCTGATCTCTTTCATATCTGCACCAGCTATCAACATATCATCTACATAGAGAAGTAGAATGATATATGAACTCTTGAACCTCTTCACGTAACAGCAATGGTCCATCTCACATCTTCTGTAACCTGTCCTTATCATGAAGTTATCAAACTTCAGATACGACTGCCTCGGTGCTTGTTTTAGACCATATAAGCTCCGTTTTAGTTTGCAGACCAGATTTTCTTTTCCAACAACCTGATATCCTTCAGGCTGTGCCATGTATATATTCTTATCAAGATCGCCATGTAGAAATGTTGTTTTAACATCTAGCTGCTCTAGATGTAAGCCCTCTGCAGCTACAATACTTAGAACCAATCTGATGGTGGTCATTCTAACCACTGGAGAAAAAATCTCATTATAATCCACTCCCTTTTTCTGCTGGAAACCTTTGACCACTAAACGGGCTTTGTACCGTTTTGACCCATCAGGTTCATCCTTGATTCTGAAGACCCATTTATTTTGAAGTGCCTTCTTACCTGGCGGAAGCTTAGTAAGAACCCATGTCTTATTCTTGTGTAAGGCATCCATTTCTTCTTTCATAGTCTGCTCCCACAGAAACGAATCATGCTGCTTTATTGCTTCGAAGTAACTTTCTGGTTCTCCATTTTCAGTCAAAAAGAGATAATTGACTGAAGGACTGAATCTTTCTGGAGGTTTGGTGACTCTAGTGGATCTTCTGACCCACCGTGTTTCAACTGGCTGCGGCTGCACAGGTGAAGGTGCTCCTTCATCCTCTGAATTTTCACTATCAACAGAGTTTTCGTGATCATCCTCAGACTCGTTAGTACTGGAATCATTCTCCAAGCTCCCACTGTCTTGAGTATCTTCAGACTCTCTGTTTCTGATGACATCATTTTCAAACTCAACCTGCTCTTTCTGAATCTTTGAGTTTTCTTTGCTTCTGTCTTTATAAAGTTCAGCCTCGTTGAATGTAGCATGTTTACTTCTGACTACCTTTCTACTTTCAATGTCCCAAAGTCGATAACCCATGCTGTCTCCCCCGTATCCAATGAAAGTGTATTTCTTGGCTTTAACATCTAACTTATCACCATCTTTGATAAGATCATAAGCGCTGCATCCAAATACCTTTAAATGCCCATACTTTACTGCTTCTCCTTTCCACTCTTCCTCTGGTATCTTGAAACCCAATGGTACGGATGGCCCCCGGTTGATAAGATAAGCGACAGTGTTCACTGCATCAGCCCAGAACGTCTTTGGAAGCCCAACATTAAGTCTCATACTTCTGGCCCTTTCATTCAATGTTCTGTTCATCCTTTCTGCCACTCCGTTCTGTTGAGGAGTGCTTGGAACCATCTTTATCATCCGAATGCCATGTTCAGCACAGTAATCAATAAACTCTGTGCTAATGTATTCACCACCATTGTCCGATTTCAAGCACTGGTGTTGGCCCAAACACATCCGTGTGAACTAGCTCCAGCTTATGAGTTTTCGGTGTCTGACCTGTCTTCACAAAAGAAACCTTCTTTTTCTTGCCAAGTACACAAGGCTCACAGAACTCAGAATCCACCTTTTTCAAATCTGGAAGTTTCCCCCTTGCAACGAGCATCTTCATTCCCTTTTCACTCATGTGGCCTAGCCGTTGATGCCACAAACTGGATGCATTCACCCCGCAGGTCACTGCATTCATCTCATCATCAGGAGCTTCAACCATATATAAAGTGCCCCTCTTTTTGCCTCTGGCGATTACAAGATTCCCCTTGACAACTTTCCATTGTCCTTCACCAAAAGTAACATCAAATCCCTGATCATCCAACTGCCCAATAGAAACCAGCATCTTCTTAAGGCTTGGAATGACCCGAACGTCTTTCAATGTCCAAGTGGTGCCCAATGAAGTCTTTAAGCCTATGTCACCCATCCCTGTGATGTCAAGAGAGTCGTTATTAGCCAAACGAACTTTACCAAAATTACCTGTCCGTAGATTCTTCATCGCCTTCCTGCTGAAAGTAGCATGAAATGATGCACCAGAATCCATAATCCACGTTTCTGTTGAATTTTCAACACAACAGATAAGAGCATCATCTGAATCGTCAGTGGCTGCATTTACTTCCTTCCTTTCTGAAGATTTAGGGCATTGATTTCTGAAATGCCCAGTTTCTTTGCAGTTCCAGCATTGAATATCTTTTCTCAGTTTTGACGGGCTCCTCTTTCTAGACTTTGATCTGCCTCTGCCATTTCCCTTCTCTTTCTTTCTACCTCTCCCTTCAGTACTTAACAAAGCACTAGAAGATTCTCCAGAACTCCTCCTTCTTATATCCTCTCCTAGGATAATGTCACGAATGCCCTCAAATGTGAGTTTAGAGGTTCCAGTTGAACCGCTAATCGCAGTGACTGTTCCTGACCAACTTTCTGGTAACGAGGATAACAAGAATAAAGCTTGGACTTCATCTTCAAACTTAATATCAACAGATAGTAAACGGGATATGATAGTATTAAACTCATTAACGTGTGAGGTAACGGATGCACCTTCTTTCATTCTGGTGTTTACTAGCTGTCTTATCAGAAATACCTTGTTTGATGCCGATGGTTTCTCATACATGTTTGACAAAGCCTTCATCAAACCACATGCTGTAGTCTCCTTCAAGATGTTAAACGCCGCACTCTTGGCTAGGGTAAATCTGATAACAGCCAAAGCTTTCCTGTCTAGAGCAGCCCATTCATCATCACTCATCTTTTCTGGTCTTTTCCCTGTCAAGGCTTGATCCAAGTCCTTCTGACACAGCAAATCCTCAATTTGCATCTTCCACCATCCAAAATCTTGTCCATCAAACTTCTCGACTTTGGTTTTTCCGTCATCTGCCATTGTCCCAGTCCTTCACAATCTGCCGGCTATATTCTTCTGCGGCAGCGTACTGTTGGCGGCACAAGGAGGCTGAAGACGCAAGGCGGCAGCAGTGGTGGTGGTCGAATATGTGTGGTGGCTAACCTAGCTCTGATACCAGTTGTTAGGGTTAGATCTCACACAAGCACGAATCTGAAAGACTAGAAAAAGAACGAGAAGAACGGCACACAAATATAATGTGGTTCAGCCAGTAAGTGTTACTGACCTAATCCACGGAGGCAACTAGGGTTTTCTTTCTTATTGAGATGATGAATGATACAAGTCATAGTTTACAAGTACAGGAGTCAATATATATAGGCAAACAATTAGGGTAAAACTCTTAATAAGGTTCTGGGCCTGACTGCCACCAAAGAAACAGGCCCAACTTAGGGCTGCCTGCACATTTAACTAGAGCAGGCTCTGCTCTTTGTTTATTTGGCTCCCAGATCTGAATGGGCCGAAGCCTACAGCCCAACAGGGGAGGGGGAGGATCCCGACGGTATGATAATAAGAGATACAGTACACTAAGAGTCCATGAGATTTTTCATCCTGTGCATAAATAAATTGAACATGAGAACTATGGTATTATTTATCTTGAAAGGCGTACCACACAAAATTGAATGCTGGGTTGTGCCTATTTTAGTAATAGCACCCCGTGATATTACTTGCATTACTATTGCTCTGATGATGTGCCAATTGACCAATAGGGTTGGTGTGGGGGTGCTGCATGGATAATATAGCACCCTTGCTGTGGTGCTCAATTAGCATTTTATGAGATATAATGACTTCAATAACATCACTGAGATATAATGACTTTGATCAAGGCTACGAGCTTGAAATAGCCTTGACTGATTCCATATATAATGACTTCGATAATGGCTGTGAGCTTGAAATAGCCTTGATTGAATCCATCCATTCCAATCATCCCGACTTAGGTGGAGTGATCTTGATCCTAGGTCGAGCACTAAAGCGGCTGCTGTTGACTTGCATGCCAGTGCCATTGTCTTTTCTTTTCTGAAGGATCTAACAGAGATGAATTACATATAAACTTCTTTGTTCTGTGTTTTTTTGATTTGTTACTGCAACAACAACAAGAACATCCAAGCCATGGTTCCAAAAGAGTTTGGGGTCCGCCAAGACCACTTGGAGTGGTGAGATATTAGGAGTCCAAAATGTTAAAAGTGGAATTTTTGGACTCCTAAATCATTGTTGTGGTTTGTTAGGGAGTGGGAGGCAGATGGACCGAGGCTCTAGGAAGAGGCAACTGGGCCGATGCTTCAGGAGGACGGACCTCGCCCGTTATTAGTTTACTGTCGCTGTTAGTGGACCTAATTGGGTTGGGTTGACTGCTGGGTTTTATTACTTTCATTCAACTGTTATTTCTAATAAACTGCTGGGCCTGGATGGCCATATTTTATTATTAGGTTACTGGGCCTAGATGGCCATATTTTATTACTCCCTCCGTCCCATATTTATCTTCGTAGTTCGGTTTACGATGCTTGAACTTGATCCCTCTTCACACTCAAATTATTTTTAGTAAATTAAATTTACATATTCAGAAACTACATTAAATCCGCTACAAAGTCTGATCAAGAAAATTTAAGTTTGATAAAAAATTGATATATAAAGTAAAAGATTAAGAGTAATTTGAGTTGACCGTGTGAATAGTAACTATGAAGATAATTTTGGGACGGAGGGAGTATTAGGTTAAGTAGTATTTAAGCAGGTCTGATCTTGTGAACTATTATTCATTATAGAGAATAAAGATTTGGTTTGAGCCTAAGGCTGGGGCAGACGTTAATATCGTCTGCTAGGGTTTTCTGTTTCTATCAATTTGGTCCGACCTGCCGGATCGTATCCACCACCACCCTACGTTCATCATGACTCGTTCCACCATTGATCAACGTATGGATGCGATAGAAGCGGAACAGAAGGACATCAGGGCAGAAGTGCAATCCACCAATGCCAAGTTGGATGCTATCACACAAACCCTAGACAAACTGGCGCAGAAGGTAATGGCGTCGGAGGAACCGCTGGCTGATTCTGAGTCGGGAGGAGGAGGCACGGTTGACTCGCAGAACTCCCACAACCCTAGGTTTGTGACCGCGCCTCTGACGCTACCAGCGTTTGAGGGGGCAGACCTGATTGGATGGATCGCCAGGGCCAATCAGCAGTTTGAAATCCATCAAACCCGACCTGAGTTGAAGGTGGCGTCAGCCATGGTAGCAATGGAGGGTCCTGCTCTGTACTGGTTTTCTTGGACACGGTCGCGGAAACCAGACATAGCCTGGGAGGAGTTTTCACAAGCCCTTGTAGCCCGTTTTGATACTCGGTTCAAAGGAAGCACGTTCGAACGGTTGGCCGACGTTAAGTAGACAGGATCCATGGATGACTATGTGAATATGTTCGTGCAATTAGCCAGTCAGGTCCCAGGTGATGCCCACTACTTGGGGTACTTTATGAAAGGGCTACGGAACACCATTCACAGTTCCTTAAGGATCCTACGGCCGGCTGATTTGGAAGCTGCTATGGAGTTATCTAGAGATATCGAAGACGACTTGGCCATACAGTCCGGGGGGAGACCGGAACGGGGTTACAACGATCAGCAGTGCCGTTCCAGTAATTACACCAAAGTTGGCGGGTTTTCGGGGTTCTCTTCCACGCCAGTGGCTGGAAACCAAGGGGCAGCGGGAAGCACAACTTCCGTGCGATCTCCAGGTAGTACCTCGGGGTCCGGATCAGCCATGACTGACCAGTCGGTGAATCGCTCTCGGTTCACACGCCTCTCACCGCAGGAATTTGCAGACCTTCGTGCAAAAGGGCTTTGTTTCCGTTGCAAGAAAGCCTATACCCCCGGGCATGAATGTCCTTTAAAACACTTAAGAGTAATGGTTGTCGAGGAAGATGAGGAACTCGACCTCAACCAAACTGAATCTTTTATCCCACCCGAAGAGGTCGAGCAACTAGGGGAACAGGAGGAGCAACAAGCAGCGGCTTTGGACTTGCCCGTATATTCGATGGCGGGAATTTGGAGTTCCCGTACTATGCGACTCAAAGGCGTGATTGAGGGGTTCACAGTGACCATCTTGGTGGATAGTGGCGCAAGTCACAACTTTATTTCAGCCGCCTTTGTACCACGACTCAAATTAAAGGCAGAAAAGACGAGGTTTGGTGTACAACTAGGAGACGGTCATCGCCAAGAATCAGAAGGGGTTTGCAAGGGGGTGTTGATCTCGCTACCGGGGTGCGAAGTACGAACAGATTGTTTTGTGTTTCCTTTGGGAGGAGTGGATGTTATACTGGGAGTAGCATGGCTAGCATCCTTGGGAGAGGTCCGGACCAACTGGGATACGATGACTATGTCATTTGACTGTCAGGGCAGGCCAGTAGTATTACAAAGAGACCCGACACTCTGCCGGAAACACGTGGACTTACAGGCCCTGCTTCGGTCCAGGGACGTGGAATTTTGGGCAGTTGTGATAGAAGAAGAACCTGCCACTTTATTGTGGCCAAATGTGGAGCAGGTGTGGTGTAGTAGGTTGGTCAGTCGGAAGATGATGCGACATGGACTGGGGGTGCAACAGTGCCAACAGCAGCTTCCTCACTCCAACCTTGGGGACAAGGTTGTTCTAGAAGGGGAGGAAATTGTTAGGGAGTGGGAGGCAGATGGGCCGAGGCTCTAGGTAGAGGCAACTGGGCCGATGCTTCAGGAGGACGGACCTTGCCCGTTATTAGTTTACTTTCGCTGTTAGTGGACCTAATTGGGCTGGGTTGACTGCTGGGTTTTATTACTTTCATTCAATTGTTATTTCTAATAAACTGCTGGGCCTAGATGGCCATATTTTATTATTAGGTTACTGGGCCTAGATGGCCATATTTTATTATTAGGTTAAGTAGTATTTAAGCAAGTCTGATCTTGTGAACTACTCCCTCCGTCCCGAAAAGGTTGGCCAAATTTCCTTTTTTGGATGTCCCTAAAAGATTTGCCACTTCCATTTGAAGTAAAGAATATGTGGCTAAAATTAATTCTCTCTCCTCTGCACAAATTTCAACCACACAATTTTTACTTTATTAATCCACGTGAAAGTCAACTTTGGCCAATCTTTTTGGGACGGAGGGAGTATTATTCATTATAGAGAATAAAGATTTGGTTTGAGCCTAAGGCTGGGGCAGACGTTAATATCGTCTGCTAGGGTTTTCTGTTTCTATCATGGTTGGCTAAATGGGGGAGTAAAAATGGAGAAGGGGATGGAGGGGTTATATATGAAGGGTGTGGAAGGAGGGAGGCTAAAAAAAGGGAAGGGGTGGGGACAACGCACGTGGTGCCAAGAGGGGAAAAAGGGGGAAAAAGGCAAGTGGGCCATGTGTCTATTTGGGATGTGCCCAGGAAATGTTTAGGGTGATGATGTCAGGGATGATGTCAGGTTGAAATGTTTAGGGTGATGATGTCAGGTTGAAATGTTTAGGGTGATGATGTCAGGTTGACTTCGTGCTAATGTCACATAGCACTCATTTTTAAAAAATTGGTAGATCCAACGGTTGTGATGATTTGGACACTGTTTGAACGGGGAAAAAATGATCCAACGGTTGAAATTAAAATCCAACGGTTAAAATAATTTATTTTATTTTTCCATTATTTTTAATTAATATTTTGTCCGAAAATCCTTTAATTTTTTTCCAATGTGTTTGAACTCACTTCATCGAAAAACGAAAAAAAATATTAATGACATTTGTTTTTTTACATCGAAATGTGTCTTTTATTTTATAATTAATCAGGGAAAAAGTTAAAGGAAAAACATTACTTATAATAATTTAATTAATGTTTTACTAGATTGATATGTAAAAAATTTGCAGAGTGTATTTTATTGACGGTGCTGGAATGCAGAGAAATAGGAGTCAAAACACTGTTTTCATATGAATGGAGTCCATTTTTGACATTTAGACTCTCCCACCACTCCAAATGGTCTAACATGAATTGACATATGAAATTGGAGCTAAAAAAGATAAAAGGATAAGATAAAATAAAAAAGATCAAAGAAGATAATGATAAAGATAAAAAAGATAAATAAGAAAAAAAGAAAAAAAGGTAAAATGAGATCAATCCTCCACATTTATATTTGTTTATTAGTTATAAATGCAAAATTTTTATGCTGCCATTAGAAAGTTTGATGTTACTTGTTTCCCTGGAAATTCTGAGCTCTTTCATTTGTTTTCAGTATCCAGACTATGTAGATGCCTATCTGAGACTTGCGGCAATAGCCAAAGCGCGAAATAATGTTCAGCTGAGCATTGAGCTGGTTTTTCCTCTAATTGCTCTGTTTAGTGTTTTTTTGTTCTTTTTGTTTTAATTTGCATTTCATTAATGTAAGATGCTTTGTTTCATAGATTGGTGATGCTCTCAAAGTGGACGATAAGTGCCCAAATGCATTATTAATGCTCGGTGATCTAGAAATTAAAAATGACGATTGGGTCAAGGCAAAGGAAACATTTCGAGTGGCTAAGGATGCGACCGGTGGTCGTGAATCTTATGCTACTATTTGTCTGGTACAGAACTGCACACTTTTGTTTCGAAAAGTTATATATGTGCATACATACATACATACATACATACATACATATATATGTATATATAGAGAGAGATGAGAATGGTTCTTCCCGTGAGAAATGAGAATAGTTTAAAGTGGTTCACATTTTGGTTCATGGCATTGCACATTCATGGAAGGAAAAGTTCAATTTATTTACAAAAGTGTCACCACATTTTCTGATTTATGATGCACATTTATGTTTCTTATAATGCACAACCTCAACTCTAATACACTAGATTCATTCTCATTTGGTCCAAATTATATATGTATGGTTCATTCCATCAAGATGCAATGGAGCCAAAAATTCATTATTTTTTGGTTAGGGAATATGATGGAATAAAGTAAAATAGACTAAACCGTTTGCGATTCTTTGTTATGAAGCAACATTCAGTTCATGCGATTTTCACCATGGGTCATCCGGAAACAGTCTCTCTGTGCTTTAATATAAGGGTAAGGTTGCGTGCATCCGACCCCTACTTACCCCACGGTAGGTGGAGCGTTTGTGGCACTGGGGTAATGATGATGATGTATGGTTCAATTTATATATATGCGGCTTAAATATTTAAGTCCTTGCAAATATGACACATTTGTTTTAGATCGTTGCAAAATGTTATTTTGGTCCTATCTAACTCCGAGACCATCTCCATTTAGAAAAAAATTAATGTCGGTTGCATACTCTTTTAGAAACTTTAAAATTCATCATGTTATAACTTCCTGGAGGCTAATATTGGAGCTAGAACAATGTAAAATTAAACAATAACATGTTTTTTGAAGATAAGTTGTAATGACCCTCTAGAAATTAAGTTAGGGGTTGTTTACTTTTTTCTATTAAGTCCTGCCTGTATTAAGACAAACGTCTATCTGGATTAAGATGTCTATCTGGATTAGGTGGTATTTGTATATGAGGTTGTTTATTTTGTGTGTTGAATAAACAATATGAATTGAGTAAAATAATCAATTTACTATTATTCTTGAGCTATAATGTCAATGAGAAATTTCATTTATTAACATAAATCTATTCCATAATCGATTTAAATTTTTGACAGAAACGACGGCTTAATAGACGTCTTATTGGAAAGGACTATTATTTTTCAGCTAAAATGATTAAGTCAGTTTTTTGACTAATGATTAAGTCATGCTTTCAATTAAGTCGTAAGTAAACATGACTCAATGGCTAAACGATTAAGTCACTGTTATCATTAAGTCCATTAATTAACTCCATTACGTTGAAAGTAAACAACCCCTTACTCTTTTCTGAATGACATAATAAAAGTGTAGGAAATCTAAAAAGTCATTCTTTGGTTGTCAAACAGAAGTTTTTATGATCCGCGAAGGACTTGAAAGAAAAATAACATAAATTATCGGGATGAAAAACGAAAAGATTATTCTGTAGGGACATACAAATAAGAATCACTATATTTACAACCTTATAGGGACTAAAAGCATATTTAATCCTGTATATGTGTGTGTATGCATTATATATATATAGTTTCAAATATAAAGAGTCATTCCCTTGAAAAATAAGAATAAATCTTGTGCATCGGGTTTGACATCTAATGGCTCTAAATATGATAGCATTCAGTCATTTGGATCAGAAATGTGGTGACATTTTGATAAATAAATCAAACTTATCTTTCATAAGTAAAAGTTTAATCATGTAAGCGCAATAATGCATCAGATTGATCCAAGAGTGCATCTGTTTGAACTTTTCACGGTCATGGGAACCACACTACATATTTTGAACCACACCCTATATGTGTGTATATATATTTTCTATACCTATGTCATATATACGTATGTTTCTCAACTCATCTGGCTCAAAATTAATCAACCATTCAGCAGTTAGCTCAAAATGTCCAATGTTGATGAAGCTTTCAAATCTTATGAGCTATGAGTATGATGGTATAAGATATGATTGACTTTTTCATGGTTTTTGCTTCTAATTGTTACTGGAGATACGATACAAACTCATCCATTTAATTTGATTCTGGTAGGGAAATTGGAACTACTTTGCTGCAATTCGCAATGAGAAAAGAGCTCCCAAATTGGAAGCTACGCATCTGGAGAAGGCTAAGGAGCTCTATACCAAAGTATGCCTTGCTCTACTAACTTTTTTCTAAAGTTTTTACATAGTGCACCACATAGTGGAAATCATGATTGCATTTTACCCCTGGTTCCTGCACGCAGGAAGTATAATATGTTGGCCTGAGCAAGTATTTGTAACATAAGTATAATGAACAAACTGCTGTCTAAAGTTTCAGCTTTCATCAGTTGTTAGTTAGTATTTTGAATATGTTGACCATGCATGAATTTATTTTCCTGCTTTAACTGCAAGTATGTTCCTTGAACTGTCCTGGGCCATTTTGACCTTTCTTTGATATCGCCTCTTATTAAGGGATTCTTCTTTAATACTTCATATCATACTCTCGTATGCTAAGATGCTATATTATATCAGGTTCTCTTTCAGCAGAACTCTAGTCTATATGCAGCAAATGGTGCTGGTGTTATTTTGGCAGAAAAAGGTCAATTTGATATATCAAAAGATCTGTTCACCCAGGTAGTTAATATTTTTTACATTAGCTGCACTGAGGGATGATTATGATTTTTGATTGCCGATTCTTGTAGGTTCAAGAAGCAGCAAGTGGAAATGTTTTTGTGCAGATGCCAGATGTATGGATAAATCTTGCACATGTTCACTTTGCTCAAGGCAATTTTGCACTTGCAGTGAAAATGGTTTGTGTTTTTGTTACTTCTTGAATTAATTGACGAAGTCATGTATCTGAAACCTTTTGCCTCATACTTCGGTGGTTCTGGAACTTTGCAGTATCAAAATTGCTTGAGGAAATTTTATGACAATACCGACAGTCAGGTGCTTCTCTATTTAGCAAGAACACATTATGAAGCTGAGCAGTGGCAGGACTGCAAAAAGTCTCTATTAAGAGCCATTCACTTATCACCTTCAAATTACACTTTAAGATTTGATGCTGGTGTAGCACTGCAAAAGTTCTCAGCTTCAACCTTACAGAAGACAAAGAGGACTGTAGATGAGGTTTTTCCTAACACACCCTCTTTCATCATTTATGCTTTCTTCCATTTCTCGTTTTGGCATTGGCATCCTCACCCTTTCCTTGCATCAAGTGTTGATAAGCAGCTGTTCAGCTGAGCATGATGTAGGTCAAGGGAATATCAACTAAATATAACTCATAGAAATTCATTCTCATATAGAAATGGATTTTCCGTTAATCTATTTCTTTAAAACTGAGGGTAGGTGAGGTCAACTGTTGCAGAGCTTAAAAATGCAGTTCGGTTATTCAGCATGTTATCTACTGCTTCAAATCTTCACCTGCATGGGTTTGATGAGAAAAAGATTGATACACATGTTGAGTATTGCAAGCACTTGCTTGATGCGGCAAAAGTCCATTGTGAGGCAGCAGAGCTAGAAGATCTAGCAATTAAGGAAAGACGTGCGCTTGCTCGCCAGGTTGATTTGACCCAGGAAAATGAAAGAAAGGCCGAAGAACAGAAAAAATACCAAGTAAATGCTAAAATTTTAACGCAGTGTAATCTTCAGGCTATTTTACACGTTTCAGATATTGTTTAATTGATTTACGTTTTCACATTCAATCTCTGACACAACAGATGGAGAGACGGAAACAGGAGGATGAACTTAAGCGAGTGATGCAACAAGAAGAAAACCTATTGCGCAAAAAGGTACATTAGAATTTTCCTCAGTTCTTTGTGAACTGGTTGGCAGGCACCATCTTGCCAGTTGCCACATTTGTTTCATGTTTTATTGACAGTTTATTGTTCTCGTGTACTCGAGTGTACTATGGGCAGGTGTATGGATTTCGTTTCTGGTAGAGCACTGCCCAAATGGTTGTAGCACTCAATGCCCAGTCATACAGCAGTGCTCAAATTGACTATTTTCATTAAATATTGTAGTAGGATAATAATAGGATGCACTTCAGATAATTCATGTAAGGTGCCATTCTTAAGCAAATACTTGTTCTAACTTCTAATTCAATTTGTGTTGTTTTCCTTTAAAGAATTAATTTAAAGTTTTTTCACGTGTTGTGATCTTTTCTTCATTAGTTTTACTTTTTATTTCTTTCATAGGAATTAGATCCTTACGTTTTGAAGTTATGTTCAGGAACAATGGAAAAGTAGTACTTCTGCCTCTAAGAGAAAGGACAGGTCCCACACTGGGGATGACAATGGGGGCAACGGTGACCGGAGGAGGAAAAAAGGTGGGGGAAAGCGCAGAAAGAGGGACAATAAATCACGCTATGATTCCGAGGGTGCGGTTATGGATGATCAATATATGGACGAAGATGCTAATATGAATTACAAAGATCAAGATGATCACGCTGACGAGAACAACCCACAGGATCTGCTTGCTGCAGCTGGGCTTGAAGATTCTGATGCCGATAATGATTATGCAGTAATTCATTCTTCTCTCTTTCATTAGATTCCCGCTGTTTATAGTTTACTGGCTTTACTTTACTCCCTTTCCCCCCAAAAGTCATGTCTCAAACTTGTCCCCCCCCCCCCCCCAAAAAAAGTAAAGTCATGTCTCAAATTTCTCTTTGTGTCGAAAAAAGAGAGTTTGTTTTTGAAAGTCAACTTTTCTTTTCAAGTAAAAATCACATAATTTCCACTGCCAAGGGGTTCTTTTCAGTAACTCTAAACAACATTCTCAGAGATAAGCATTAGGGGTTATATCGCCCATTCATTTCTAACGGGGTATGATTCTATCTGTTGGTTGATTGATGCTAGTCTGAACCTCCATCAAATGTGAAGCGACGGGGGCATGAATGGTCTGAATCAGAAGAGGAAGATGAACCATTGCAGAAGCAGGATGATATTGAGAGAAGGGATAGTGATGATGGTGAAAAGCTGAATGAGGATGCTGGTGATGACTTATAGTGAGCTGCACATAAGATATGTGATCAGTGACGGACCAAGCGCCTCGAGATGTGAAGCTTAGTGGTAATGGCTTAAAGTGTGCTGCACATAAGAAATATGATGGCTACTCGATTGTGGACTAATTGAATAGTAGGCTGGAAAGGCAATCTCTTGTACGCTGTTGTTTCTTAGCAGTCATGGTTAAACTCTTCTTATTACTTTTGTTGTTATTGTTATTATTCAATTAAACTTGAAACATGGGGGTTTTGACATGAATATTAGGACTAAGTTTTAGATAAAAAAGGGACCCTGTTTTGAGCTTCCAAAAATGTAACTAAATAAGCTCTAGATCTGAAAATTCTTAAATGCATATTTACTAAATTGCTCTCCTCATGTCTAGTGACACCATTTGATTGTGACCATAGCCGACCCTAGTGAGTGACTCAGTGACGAAGAGACTGACTCTGGTGACCGGTGATACATCATTCCACTTACTCCACCACAAGTGACCTCAGTTACTCCGCTGCTAGTGACAAAGGCCACTACGCCAATGACGATAGAGATAGTAGGGTACTAGGGTTGGGTGACTTGGGTACAGAAAATTGAAAATTTAAAAATTACCCTTTTCGCATTCATTCCCATCCCACCCCCAAATCCTGCCAAAACACCGAGTCCAATCCACCTAGCAATTGCCCAATGTGAAAAAAGGGTCTGAACCGGTCCTGGACTGGTCGGGCCAATCTAGGGATGGATTCGGTTCGGGCCACCCGGCACGTGACCCGGTCCGGTCCGGTACTGTGCGGGCCCGGGACCGGCCCGGTCGGGCGGTCCGGGACCGGGTATGGACCCGAACCGATGGGAAGGGGCGGGGCGGGCTCGGTTCTGGATTATTGTGACCCGGCCCGGGTGGGTCGGGCCCGGGTCCGGGTCCGGGTCTATTTTTAATTTTTTTTTTTTTTTGGTTTGGGCTACTACTCCTACTAGCCGTTGGGGGTGGGGCTGGGGACAATCCAAACGGCTATATAGCCGTTGGGTGGGGTAAAGGGGGGGGGGGGTCCGGGGGGGTTGGCTGGTGGGGAGGGGGGGTGGTGGGGGCCGGGGGGTAAAAAAACCTATAAATACTCCTAATCTTAAACATTTTTTCATCTCTTCTCCAATTCTTCCTAAATCCTATTCTTAACTCTCTACTCTCTAATTCTCTTATTCTCCATTCTCCAATATATTATATTTATTATTTATAGTTTATATTAATTATCTACTTATATAAACTATAAATAGATATAAATAGTATTATATTACTTATATTTGTTATCTAATTATATATTACTTATATATTTATTATATCTATTAATATAGTTGGAATTATATCTAATTAATTTGAAGTCATTCTATTACTCCCATCCGAAAGACCGAAAGTCCGAAAGAGGTACGAAATTATTCTATTATTTACACTTGTTTAATTACTAGTTAATTTGCTACATTTGACTCTTGTTTAATAGTTAGATAAATAGTTAATTAGTTTTTTACAATTTTTTATTAATTGCTACATTTGACTCTAGTTTAAAAAATATGTTGTACACAAAACTAGTTAATTCACTACTTAATTTGCTATAACTCGAATTAATAGTTAGATAAATAGTTAATTAGTTTTTTACAATTTTTTATTAATCGCTACATTTTTTAGATGGATCGTCCTAGATATTCGGTTGATATGGGTAACCTCGAGCGCAACCGAACGAAAGAGCTTGCGAGGAAGAGATCCCGCAAAGGTAAATCACATATCGGCTCTTCATCTCAAAGTCAAGATGATTTTGATACGAGTTACGTAAGGAGGGATGGGGCTGCGATGACCGACGAACAACTAGAACAAGAATTGCACCGACATAATTCCCGCTTTTTTCAAGACCAACCGAGGACCATTGACGAAGAAGAGCTCGAGGACGAGGACGACGATGTGGAGGAAGCAATTCCGGAGAGCCACGACGACGAGGAGGAGGAGGGTGGCGGCAGCCATGACGCCGACCAAGCAGCCTCATCCCAAACAGGTACAAAAAAAGTAAATCTGAATTAATGGCTAATAATTTTTCTAAGTGGAAGGACCCGAACACCGGGAATTGGACCGCAACTTGCAATTGGTGAAAAAAAACTATAGCTTGGGGATTTCCGGCGGATACGGATCCGCCACAAGACACCTTAAGTCCAAACACCCGATGGAGTATGCAAAATTAGGCGGCGGAACGGGGAAACAAACGCAAATATCGAGGTTTGCAAATAACCAAAAGGCTTTTGGTAATTTCTCATACAATGATGCACAAAATTTGACAGGTATGGCTAACTTACTTGTTGAAGAAAATTTGCCTTATTTGTTTTCTGAAAGTCTTGTTTTTCGTGATTATGCACAAACTTGTTTAAATCCGCAATATAGAGGTTATAGTGCAAAACGGTTAAGAAAGAAATTTCAAGGCTTTATGGTGCGGAAAAGGTAAGGTTACAAAATTATTTTGCAAACTTTGATGGACGTGTTACTGTATGTTCTGACATATGGGAGAATACTTATCATAATTTACATTATTTGGGTCTGACTGTACATTATATTGATAATGATTGGCATATGCATAAACGTGTTCTTGCTTTCCGTGAATTTAATGATCGTCACACCGCTGAACATATTTATATTTTGATTGAACGTATTTTAATTGAGTATAATTTAATTGATAAGGTGTTTGCTATTGGTTTTGATAATGCTACTAATAATACTGCTGCTATTCCTAGATTGCGTGAATTGTGTGGTTCTACTTCTTTGATGGGTAGATTTTTTCATCAACGATGTGCATGTCATGTTCTAAATTTATGTGTGCAAGATGGTCTAAAAGCGTTGGGAGCATCGTTGGAGGTAGTCAAGGGGGGGATTTGAAAGGAGTGTGGGTGTGTGGGACCTGTACAAAGTGTGCGTGTGTGTGTTTGTAAATAGTGTGCGTGCGTTTGCATTCATCGAGGGGGAGAAAACTTGAAAAATACAAAAAATAGTGTGCGTGCGTTTGCATTCATCGAGGGGGAGAACACTTGAAAAATACAAAAATAGTGTGCGTGCGTTTGCATTCATCAAGGGGGAGAAAACTTGAAAAAGATCAATAATAGTGTGCGTGTGTTTGCATCCATCGAGGGGAGGAAAAGAGCACAAAGATCAAAAAATAGTGTGTGTGCTTTTGTATTCATCGAGGGGGAGAATTTTTTTTAAGAGGGAGTACTTCAGCGAGGGGGAGTATTTTTTTACTGATCTTATCACCCCTAAGGCCCAAAATCTTTTTTTGCCCGTTCCTAAAACCTCGCATACTTAAAGCTCAAATCCTCTCCTTCTCATTTTTCCTACGCTTCACTCTCGCAGAAACTAGCAGAGCCCAAAACTCCTCTTCTCCCTCTCCGTCGTCTTCCCATCTCCCTTCCCTCTCAACAGATCTCCCCAAACTCCCCAAACTCAAAGGTAGAACTTCCTTTCGTCGCTCCCCTTCACACTGTTTCCAAACGCTACCTTGAACCTTCCCTAAATCCAAAAACTCATTTTCGTTCAAATAACATTTTCAAAAAGGGTTCTTTGTTGATTGTGTATTGTTTTATGCTTTTACAGGTGTTAATCGTCTTCCTCGTGCGAACACGAGTTCTGGAACTCGAGTTCATGGACTGCCGTTTCAAATTCGAGCAGACTGCGAGTTTGTAAACTCGCGCTCTGGGCTCGAGTTTGTAAACTCGCGCTCTGAGCTCGAGTTTGTAAACTCGCGCTCTGGGTTCGAGTTTATGAACTCGCACTCTGGGCTCGAGTTTGCAAACTCGCGCTCTGGGCTCGAGTTTGCAAACTCGCGCTCAGGGCTCGAGTTTGCAAACTCGCGCTCAGGGCTCGAGTTTGTAAACTCGCGGCCAGGGTTCGAGTTTGTAAACTCGCAGCCAGGGTTCGAGTTTGTAAACTCGCAGCCAGGGTTCGAGTTTGTAAACTCGCAGCCAGGGTTCGAGTTTGTAAACTCGCAGCCAGGGTTCGAGTTTGTAAACTCGAGGCCCGGGTTCGAGTTTGTAAACTCGCACTCAGAGCTCGAGTTTGTTAACTCGCACCCATGGCTCGAGTTTGTAAACTCGTGCACATGGGCTCGAGTTTGTAAACTCGCGCTCCTGGGCTCGAGTTAACAACCTTGGTGCCAGAACTCGTTTCCTCATCTCTGAAATCCTAAACCCAAAGGGAAATTTTTTTACTAACGGGTGCTATTCTTTCAGCTCAAAATGTCAGGCACACAACAAGATACTCCCCAGGACGATGCGCACTACACACAGCTGTTCCCCAAATACAAGTGGGTTCGGCTACAGGACAACAACTTTCAGCTCGACCTAGCTGTCTTCCGGTGCCCTGACCCGGTCATTCCCATAATTCTCAAGGGGCACTACATCTGGCAAGCACTAAGCAAAGCGATCACGGTCCCCGAAATCTACTTGCAACAACTATGGGGGACCATGCACTTGACTTCCAAGAAGGACGCATCCAGTCTGAGTGCAACGCTCCACAACAAACGTCTGACTTTAACCGCATCCACTCTACAAGCCATACTGGAGCTGCCTATCCACGATGCCTATGAACAACTGCCCTCCAAGGCCGAACTAATGGAAGGACTAGTGCAATTGGGTTATGATGCTCCGCTACCGTTCCTGTCCCACTTCAAGTTGATGAATCTGCCTTACCCATGGAAGACATTGTTCGGCCTTGTCAACAAATGTCTTTCCCCAAAGCACGCCGGCCATGACAAGTGCAACTTGCAGATCTTCCAAATCTTCCATGGGATTGTCTTCGCAAAAAATTACGATATGGCGCAGCTATTCTGGATTGAGCTGGTCACTCAAGTCCAAGACAAAGAGGACGGAAAGACGGGTATGACGATCCCCTACGCCAGATGGTTGGCGCTCATTATTGCTGACTACATGACCGCCCACCCAGGGATCCCACAGCGCAAAGATGAAGACCAGTTTACTGCTCCGAAAATCCAGTACTTCAAGCGCTTCAAGCATGACACCGTGGGGATGACCATACCCGATTGTCTGCTGGACCTGGGAAATCCACGCCATTCTGCAGTCATCCAGTACATGGAGAGTCTACTGAGAGATGGCCCCATGGTTCAGTCAAACCCAGCTGGACCTGCCCCGGGGCCTAAGCCGAGAGCTAGTAAGGGTCCGAAGAGAGCCAGTAAGCCACAGAAACCAGTGGCGCGTGTGCCCCATGAAGGGAAGTCTGATGATTCTCTCGAGAGGAATCAGACGGCTGAGGGCGCATGTACAGACGCTGCGGAACCTGCCGATGAATCGTTCAGCCCGGCCCACAAAAAGGCTAACGATGAGGCCTCCAATAGCGTGGCCAGAGACGATGAGGATGATGACGGCGATGATGACTCCGACGATAGTGACGGCGTGGAGCACACTTTCGCTCTGATCCGAAAGGGGAAGCTGCCAATTGATTCTCCTCCAAAGAAGGTCACCCCTGAGGATGCAGCTCCTTTTATAGCTGCCCGTCCCAAAACATTAGTCCTCAAACCCGTGAAGGAGACAGCTACAGCTAAGATTGCTGCTCCCCGGTCACCTAAGGCTAAAGCCAAGAAGCAGCGTCCTGTCCGAAAGAGTTTGGTTGCTGAAGAGGACCTTCATATTTTTGACGACTGTCTTCCTTTCATCTCTATAAGCCGAGCCGAATCTCTAAGTACAGGGGCCAACCTTGTTGGTCCCCGAGTAGAAGCCGCAGCATCGGGCTCAACTGCGCATGCACCGCCCTCTCCCACCCACTCGTTAGCCTCCCAAAAGGCTAACGTTTCAATATCACGGGACTCACCCACCTCACTGGTTCCCTCCGAACCCGTTGAGCGCTCTAGTGGCCCACCGCCCGAGGCCACAACCCCCTCTTTCTCCACATCGAGTCTAGGTGTCACATTCCCCACATTTTCCAATTTTTCTAGGACACCTACACCTTTCACAGCACATACAGGTGCACACACCCTGGATTCAACGACCGGAGTGCAAACAAGGATGGTCGGAAGCCCTGCTGTGCCAAAAATGACTTCATCTTTGCACGCAGGCCACACATCTGCTCTCTTCACTGATGCTGTGACAACAGTTACAACCCCCGTAACTGGAAACCTTACACCCGAAGACGTTACCGTTCTCATGAACCGCTACATGGAGTCCACCATCAAACCATGGGTGCAACAAGCATTCACCGCTTGGGCACAGGACTCCAAACCAACCCCAGCGGTTCATAGTGAACAGAGCCACCCCAAACCCCACTCTTCACCCTCTCAATCCATTCCACAACCCACTCCTGCCATCCCTCTCCCATCCACCACACCTTTTATCCCTTCACTCTCTCGGGGAACCCACGATACGGAACTGGTATCGCCCTCTGCCTCGACCAATCCCTACCACCTATCCCGCCTTGAGCTTGCCGATCTCCTGTTTCTTCGGTTGCTGGAGGTCGACACTTGCCACCTTTCACCCTTTGAACGCGACCTTCTCCAAATTTTCCTCAAACATGACCGCCCTCAGTACGGCACTTGCCGTGACAGTCCCCGAGGCCTCAAACGTTCCCATGAGGATCCCGATGATTCGGAACCTCATGAGGGGGAGAACAAGAGGCCTCGGACACTTGAGCAAGCAGCCTCTACCAGCCATGAACCCCAGCCAAACACCTCATCAAACCAGCCCACCAACCAACCACCACCTTCCTCGAGCCACAACCAAGCCCAACTCTCTAGCCTGGTCGAGCTAGACGAAACATCCCGAGGCTTATCTCCAAGAGATACTGTCCGAGGAGGGGATGGAAGTCCTGTAGTGGTTACCTCTGGGACATCACAAAGTTCAGGCCATCGATCAGAACACAGTTCGAAATCGATGACAACATCCCGAGGCGTGTCTCCAAAGGATACCGTCCGAGGAGGGGATGGAAGTCCTGACAATGCTATATCTGACTCATCTGTCAAGTCAGGCCATCAGCCAGAACTCAGTTCTAACCTGATGACAACGGGCAATCCTAGTGAACCCGGTTGTGACTCACGAGAAAAATCACCACAGCTGAGAGTCCCCTATATTCCCCAAGGCAAAGATATCCACGATGCACTCGAGGATGCTGTGGTACATGACGTTTGGCCAAGAAAATGGACAGAGTGGGATGATCTTAGAAGCGAAGCCGAGTCAGAGGATATGCAGCGAAATTGGTGGTTGAGAGAATTACTGGCCAAATGCGCAGAAGACATCATACGCCTTGATGAAGAGGAACTCAAGGAAGGGGAGGACTACAAAAAGATACCCAGGGAGCTAGAATCCGTCATCAGACAAACGGCAAGCAAGTTGCCCCCAAAAGAAAAACTCTGGGAAAACATCAGAATAAATGCTCCCTTCCAAGAGGAAATCAGAAAGGGAATTTGGAGAACCGCAGACAAGCTCAAACAGCTAGATGAACTAAAGATCCGTGGTTTGACTCACCTCAAAGGAAAAATGGCTGGCGGACATCTTCACATGCTGATGCACAGATCATATGGAAAGCAACGTCAAGTCCTGGAGAGAGATATGAAGTCCAGTACCCATCCTATTGACGCTATCCTTGATATACACAGAGAAGATCATCACACCATCCCGTTCTACAGCTTCAAAGTTCGACGGACAGACTCCAGTGTATTCATCTGCCAGGAAAACGACTTTATAATGATGAAAATGGAGGATATCTACCAAATGTTCATGGTAAGTAGGTACCTCCCACTGAGTCGAAACAGGACACACGAAGAAGGCTATGAGGCGATCAAGCAGTTTATGCTGAGACAGATCAGATTCTATGCTGCCCATGATCTACAGATGGCCCTGGAAAACAATGTTCGAAAAGCGAATCTGGTAAAACCGACTCTGAACGGTCCAGAGCTCAAAAAGTACAGACCATACCACATCTTCAAGGACCCAGTCTCCATCATATATTTCAATCACGAGGAACAGAAAAGACTCATGTGGGTAGAAGACATTCACAAATACTGTGATGGGACTCTGAAGATCATTCAGACTAAGCTACAAGAGATCAAAGAAAATATAGATCCAAGACTTGCGGACGCCAGTGAGGAAGAGCTCCAAGTATACGAGAAGGTGTGGACCATCCTAAAGCCTATCAACGAGCAACTTGAAAAGAGAAGAATGCTGAGACAGTATGAGCATGCGCTAAATTTCAGAAAGCATTACTTCAGATCTCAAAAATAAATGCAAGACGGCACTTGATCACAAAGGGGGGATTTAAAATATTATTCACATATTCCGCATATTTATGGTATTGCATTTGTTCTCGATCCTCGTTTTAGACTTGGTTCTTTAGAAGAATGTTTGAATTATTATTATGCTGCTTTTTTTGGTCCATTGCCAATGTATGAGGACAACCCAATTGATCCGAAAAAAGAATACAACGAGGTTAGTGATATATTTTATGCATTATTCAATGAGTTTCATGCACAATATGGAAATGCGCCCCCTCCCCCGACACAAACATCATCTAAAGGAAAATCAATTTTCAAATCTACGTTTGCCAATCTTATTAAAAAAACAAAATCAACTCCCGCTACACAACAAAGCACAATTAATGAGATTTCTTTGTATTTAACTTATGATGTTGATTTTGAAGAAGATGATGATTTTGACGTACTAAACTGGTGGAAGGGAAAAGAAAGAATGTTCCCGGTTTTAGCAAAGATGGCTAAGCAAGTGCTATCAATGCCGGTTTCAACGGTTGCCGTGGAACAAGAATTTAGTTCGGCCGGCAATGTTCTAACACAAACCAGAACGAGGTTGAGCGCTGAATCTCTTGAGATGCTTATATGCTACCACGATTGGTTGAAAGCAGCACGTAGAGCTCAAGAAATTGACATCACTCCATCCCAACACTTTATGGATGAATCTACAATAGAGGGTGGCTCTACCTATGCCGGAGATTCCGATTAAAAACAATTATAGTTCCTAGTTAATTTTCAAATGTAGTTCCTATTTCATTTGAAATAAATGCACTTGAAGTTTGTTTTTTAATACTTGTATAAAACTATAAAGTATAAAATATTAAATTAAAAAAAAAAAATATTTAATCGGCCCGGCTCGGCCCGGCCCGGCGGGTGGCCCGACCCGTGACCCGGGTGGGTGGCCCGGCCCGAACCGGACCCGTCCAACCCTCGGGCCGGTCCCGGTCCCACTATTCTTGAACCGGTGGCCCGACCGGGCCTAGGCCCGGGCCGGGCCCAGGCCCGGGCCGGGCCCGACCCGGCCCGAATCCATCCCTAGTTCACAAGGGTACCAAGTAAGCACAAAAGGGCAGTAAAGTAGAGATAAACACGCAAGGGAGACAGAAACACGGAAAACAAGTTCAAAACCTCAATCCCGCAAACACAAAACACTCATGCAGACCAACTACACACACGAAGGTAAAGAGCACACACCTGGGAATCGTCAGTTACAACTGACAGCCAGAACAACAAGGCCAGCAACAAGAGCAAAGCGGGGAAAGGGATGAAGCAAGTAAAAAACACCAAGAAACACACAATACCGGAGGCACCCGGCTACCTAGGGTGTTTATCGCCAATTTACCTGAGCGAGAACCCGAGGATGGGCTTCTCGACTTACCACTGAAAACGGAGATCTGCGGCGGATGGCGGCGGAGGAGCTCTCGGGCTGTAGACGAGGACGACAGGAGTTCCGGCTCTGATACCACTGTCAGGTTTTCACCTCTCCAGCTCAGACCACGCTCATACAGCACACACAACCAAGCACCACCGGAAGGGACAAACACACTCAGGCCAGCCCAGCCATCTCAAGGCACGCCAAAGGTCAGAAAAGGGGAAGCACAGAGAGAAGACCACAGAGGGACCGGAAGGAGAAGAGACATGGAGTCTCTCTCTCTATTCTCTCTAACCTCACTCTCTCTCTAACCGAAGACCTCAGCGTCAACAAAAGACGAAGAGGGACTTAAGTACCCGGGCAAGAGGGGAAACCTTAATGGAGGGTTCCAGAAACAAGGCTAGCGGCAGAACAACATAGGCCAGGGCAAGAGGCAAGCAAAACAGGCCCAACAAGGAAAGAGGGCTGCCTTGGCCCGTGAGCCAATACCTCCACATGCACAAATGTGAATATGGAGCATTAAGACATCGCTGAGCACGGCACCAATTGTCGGGCAAAATTAAAATTCTTTCATGCAAACCCCATAACATACGAACATGGGGGGATAGCTCTTGGTGTAAGTGTGGTAAATATATAAATGTCACCAAAAAATATTCTTCTTACACCTAGGACATTTATTTATTTTTGGATAAAAGGTAAATATATAAATATTTTTGGATAAAAGGTAAATATATAAATGACAAGTAATGTACTGTTTACATGACTAGCTCCTATCTATCTGAAGCAAACCAAACTTTGCTTAGCAATTAAACATTCATTGCTAAAAGATGGGATTAAGACACAAATATTACTAAAAGATAACAATTCAATAAAAAAGTGTCATTTTGTTAATTTCTATAAATGAGATTAAAAATGGGTATGAGAACTATTATACTCATATTAGGCCTGGCTGATCCATACAATGACTAATTATATTTACCTGGCTCTATAAGTTACATTTATCCGACCGCCAACTACAGTTACCCTACAAATCAATTACAGTTATCCGACTCGTTAGTTACAATTATCCAATTTGACCAAATGAAATTATCCAATTCGACCTATTAGGGTTACCGGGTTCGACCATTTACTGTTGGGCCAATTATAGTTATCTACATACCACCTCCTCCGGCACCGTTGATGACCACAACCTCCGGCCACCGCCTACCACCACCACCGCCAACACCACACCCTTGCCCCCTTCCCTGCGTCACCCCAGCCCACTACCTCACCTACCCCCTCCCTTGTGTCACCCCAACCCCCATCGTGCCCCCTGTGGCCAGTTCCCTCTTCCGTCCTAACTCCCCATCTCCACCATCTCCCCTGTTCCCAAGCCTCTATATAGACCGTCCGCCAATAATGATCCATGACTAGATATTACTCTCTTCGGATCTTTTTAAACTTCACAGTTTGAGTTCACATCGATTAAGAAAATAAATTTGACTTTATTGTAGAGTACACTGTTGAGACACTATCTGGCACCGTTTGACACTGTTGAGACACTGTTTCGCACCGTTGAGGCATTGTTTGGCACTGTTTAGCACTGTTTAACACTGTTTTGATGTAGATTTCTTTGCCAAATAAGGAAATAAGGAAGTGTGAAGTTTATTTTGGACCGTCCCAAAAAGTGAATTTTAAATAGAAATTAAACATAAAAATTAAAAGTTGAGATTATTTATAGGGATTACTTGCTGTCTCTTCTCATCCACTTTAGAATTTATTTGTAGTCGGACACATCAGACCATTATTGTCAGAAGGTACATAAAGTTGGGATTATTCTGAAATAATCGATAATTGGGATTATTATGAGAGGACCGCCAATAGTTGAGATTATTACTATCAAATTTTCCTAAAATAAAAATAATGTGATACAAGTTTGTGCAAAGGAGAGAAAAATAACAAAAACATGTAATTGATTAATTGAAAAAGAAAGTGGTAAAAATTATAGGATAATGAAAAAACAAAGCCGTTTGTGAAAAAATTTTAGGATAATGAATTTTTTTGTCTGTGAAAACACTTTAAACGGACAAAACTTATGTATTCACGGAATATTGGCAAAAAAAACCTTTTTTTTTTTAGAAGTGGGTAAAGAGGAAAAGTTTGTATACGAAAGAATTGTAACAAAGCCGATAAAATGGAATAATGGTTGATATTTTTTGTGTCAGATTATGGCGACTGACAAGCTGCAAAAAATAGCAGTTGCACAGAGGTCTACTGCAAAGCAGAGCAAACATACAGAAGGCTACAAAACAAAGAACTTCTGACCTATGGCTTTGTAGTATACGATTCTGAGTCCAAAAATCTCTGGTAAAAGTCTGAAATCTGGACAGAAGAACACTTGCATAGAAATAATAAAAAAAATCTTTGAATAGAATGAGAGCATCTTTCCTTGTAACCTTTCTGGGATTCCTTGATGGATGTGTTATGCTGGTCCTTCGCTGATCAGACCCATCACACACAGAGACACCGGGCTTTTGACACAGTGCCTGACCAGTGCTAAATGTAACGTTACCGCCCATTGCACTGACCCATCCATACAAATAAATTACACCGAGTACGAGGCTGCTGGGCCTACGGATTAAAATGAATTACACTATTTTGATACTATATCCATCACGAATAGTAAACAATATTTAGGTAATGAAGCTCATAAAATGAAGATGAAAATCACTTTATTATTATATAAGTTACATATTTGGGCAAAAGTAACAACACGAGTATCGAATAAAAAAAACATTACTTAAAAATGTTTCTCGTAGACCAATATGAATCAAATCATTAATAATTACTTCACATGCAACCTTCTTTCCACTAATAAATATGACAAACAAAAAAATTGTCACATATAACAACAATAAACTTTCTCTTGAAAGGATAAATGAAAAGAAATATTCCCCCATATGGAGAACTATCAAATAAGCCCTCCAACTTTCATAAAAAATGCAAATAAGCCCTTTTATAGGAGGCTCTGTCCGGTCGTCACTATTTGGGGCAGTTTTCGGTGGAATTTTTTGATGAAATTGTTTGAGCATATTCTTCATTAAGTCTAGTTTACCCATACCAAATTTCAGCTAAAAATTCAATCGAGATGGCAGTCAAATGATTTTCTGAAATATACTACGCTGTCTAACTGCGCAGTTATCTTCAAAAATTCATTTGACTGCCTTACCAATTGAATTTTTAGCTGAAATTTGATTTGAGTAAACTAGACTTAATGAAGAAGACACTAACAAAATTTCATCAAAAATTTCCACTGGAAACCGCCCCAAATGGTGACGGTCGGACAGAGCCTCCTATAAAAGGGCTTTTTTGCACTTTTTATGAAAGTTCGAGGGCTTATTTGGTAGTTCTCCCTACCACATATTTAATTCATAAGTTGAGAATGATTTATGGACCGCTGATGAGAGTCTAAAGTTTGAAGTCTCGAAAGAATGAATGTTTTCAAAGAGACAAAATGTTTGGCTGCCAAGAGAACTTGCCCAAGAAGATTGCAAATCTGACGTTCTCTTGGTCCAAAAAAGGTGGAATCTCCCACCCCAGGAGCCCCCCATACCACGACCCGACAGGATTTTTGGGAGGATGTTAATCATGGTGACTCAGTCGGCCCAATGATGGTAGACCTTTTTCCTGTGCGCACCAGAGGCCCAGCCTTATTTCAGGTTCTGTGACCTCCACACGGCCGCTGCGGGTTTCGCACATTGGTCACTTGGTCCAAATTTCTCACCACTGAACCAACTGAGTTACCCGTGCGGGTAATCTGACGTTCTCTAAAACTACTATTAGGAACTCACATATAGCTTATTGAAATTTGAAAACAAATGAATAATTGGGGTGGAATTTGAGAGAAACGAGTTCTAAAATAATTATATAAATTTGTTATGTTATAACAAAATTGAATAACAAACCTTAAAAGCTAAAAAATGTGAGGACTAGAGAAACGTGTCTTTTATTTATGCGGCAACAATTGCATTGCTTTTAAAACTAATGTATATATTCTGTTTTAAACTTGTCTCTTTTAAGACTCTTTATTTATGTTTTAAAATTTCAAATTGTCAACAAAATTAATCATTAAGCCTAGTTAATTGACCTTAAGAATAAAAAGAAGCCTACTCACACTATATACAAAGAAAAAATTTTGAGCCTATTTTTTCTTCTATTTTTTTTGGGCCTAGGGCGATCGCCCCTCTTGCCCCCCCAGATCCGGCCCTGCCGAGTATAAATATACGGAGTAAATCGTTATTCTGGTCTTAGTTACTTAAAAAGTTTTGAGTTCGATTTTTGATAATTTAAAGTGATGGATAGTCTACCCGGGGGTATGTATCCGAAAGGTTACTACGAGGAGTAACTAGAGAGAAGTCAGAGCAAGTAAGAGAGAAGAAGTGTATTGAATATATGGGGTGCTATTTATAGTAGCAATAAATGCTAGATAAG